TCCATCAGGTCATGGTAATTCTACCTACCATCCATCAGTTCATGGTAATTCTTTCTACCATCCATCAGGTCATGGTAATTCTATCTACCATCCATCAGTTCATGGTAATTCTTTCTACCATCAGTTCTTTAGTCATTCCACTATACTTACACTATCGTACCAACTGCGCCATTGTCGTGACCGGACCGAGGTTTCCAGCCTCGGCCACGGCAACACGAATTAGCGATGCAGCTCCCACGAGTGCGGCCGCTTCTATTGCTGCTGCTGCTGTTTCTGCTGCTGAGGTTTCTGTTGCTGCTGTTTCTGCTGCTGCTGGTGGTCCGTCACCTCCAAAATTCGTTACAAGAATGACTTCAACGAGCTTAGGTACTTCATATTTATACCTGCTAACCTATCAAAATTCTCTAACCAATGAGATTCTGTTTACATACGAACGATCACGCTTCACGCTCACTTGATTCTACTCATTATTTATTCAACACTAACTCTATCTACTACATGTATTAGTGAGGTAAATTAATAATGTCGAAAAAAAATTAGTAAAAAGGTTGCCGACTGGACTCGAACAACGAACGTTGCGATTATCAGACCTGTGCTTTCTCCACTGCTCTCTCCATGCTTCTGAATAAGGGAAGCCTAAAAGCAAATAAGAAGCGCTCATTTCCTCTCACACTCGACTTCGTATGCTTTTTCTGCTGGAGAGATTCGAGGCAAGGGTGTGCGTCGTTCTACCATGTTATACATAAAAATCAAGGCAAATGCTTGCTTGTGTAGGTGAAAGCACAGACAGAACACGAAATAAAAAAAAGGCAAAAAACCATTACATCGCCTGCAAGGTCAACTTCTAACATTCGCTGCGATGATCATGAACAGAGGATGATAGGAAATGGAACTAACATTCATTGTAATAGATTTTTGGTTTGCGTTTACAATTTTTAATAACAGCTTCTGTTCAGGCTTTGTTCACACAAATCTGGAGAATTTATTCAACCTCAACATCGAACTATTTGGTGTTGAATCAGGTATGTCGAGAAGCTTTTATTCGACTACAAAAGTTGTAACAGAGCTTATTCGATCAAATATATGATTATTCGGCGTTTATTAGACATCATGACTTCCTTAAACAGCGATGGTATAAAGGTGTATATAGACGCTTGATTCTCATGTGAAATAATGTTTAGTTATACATTATTATACATTTATTAAACGATTATTCAACTATGGGATAACACTAGTTTACAGCATTTTTGAACTCGGTAAGGTGATGATCATTTCCAATGCAAAATCCTACGCTGAATTCAATGCCGTGGTCAGAAAAAATTAAAGTAGATCCATTTTTGAGATATACAAAAATTTTGATTTTTTGAATTTTGCACTAATTTGAAGATACATTTCCTACATTCTCACATGGATTTTTTCCCGGAAAATCTTGTTGACGAGAGTGATGAGCACGGCGAACGTTTTCACCAACAAATAAAGATGATGGAACGTCGTTACCAAGGGTTTTGGGATGAAGCAATGATGGGTGACTATTGTTGGTTTCTGATTCGAGAAACAAGTTCAAAACATCGAAAACAAAGTCATTCGATTCTCAATCATTTTTAATAATACCTAAATAAATTTCTTTTGTATCAACTCGGTTTTAAATCCTGATATGCCTTAATCAAATTGATATGTAGAGAAAAGAATCTCCCATGAAAACTTTACATGCGATTTGGATGCTTACAACGACACCTAGAAAAGGAACTCTAAAGCTGTTGTATTTCAGCAACATGTTTAAGTGTTTTACAAAAATGCTCATAACTTCGACAATTTCCAACCGATTTCATCCATTAAAGGCTCATTTTCTCCAGTTTTTAATGGACTTTAAGAATAAATTATGGAATGATTTTTTGAATCTTTTAATCCCATTAAAAATATTGATTAAAACAAGATTTTTATGGAAAATCCGCAGGAAAAATAAAAAAAATGCTGTAAATTTTTAAATGACTTCAAAATTAAATTTTTAATTAAGACATAATATTCAAGTGAACGATAGCAAATTTATTCACTTTCATAAAAAAAGATTTGAAATTGGTGCACTAGTTCCAAAGATATTGACATTTTAGTAATCGTACTTTTGTCCAAAATTCAAAAAATCAAAAATTTTGTATATCTCAAAAATGGCTCTACTTTAATTTTTTCTGACCACGGCATTGAATTCAGCGTATGATTTTGAATTAGAAACGTTGGTCAACCACTAAAGTTCACACTTTTTATGTTGTTTTGTAAACTAGTGTAATTAATCCAAAAATAAGACGGGACAAAGCAGGGTTGTTCTCTCTCGTTAGTGATTGATGTGTCATTTATTTCTGTCCAAGCACGCACATAGATCCTAGAAAATTTACTACATACACACATGTCATTGAATGGGTTTCAAACCATCACCTTCCGATCACCAGCCTCTTGCCTTGCCATCTGAGCTATCCTAGAATACATCAAATGGGTAGCTAAATAAGTAATAAAAGCTTGAATCTGAAAACCTATCTGCACTCCCAGCCGTAACTCTAGCTAATTCAAGGAGATGTGAGAATGATCAATTCATTCATAGTTGTTTAGCATGAGACTAACGTTACCTCTCCATCTCTCTTATTTCGATGGAAAGGATGCTATTCTTTTCAATAGATCTATGAATTGGTTGTCGTGAGTGATACGATCTATGCCCAACAAACAATTTGAGTTGATTAACAGCTGAATAAGCCATTTTTAAGCTGAAGAAGCTTATTTTTTCCTGAATAAGCTCTTATTAAACATTCAATGTTTGTTGGGTGATTACGATTTAAATTAATAAGGCGTAGAAAATAAATTAAAAAAAAAAGTGTTGAGGTTGGGATTGAACTCGTGACCTTCTACTTTGAAAGCGGAAACGGTAACCACTATGCTACCAATTTCGTTTTGTTGTTAACTTTAAGCAGTGTTGTGGAATAATAAATGAATACGCCGTTTGTAAAGCATTTACAAAGCATGAATTTAAAACATGCACGCATAGTGGTATAAGAGCTATTTTGCTGACTGTATTCACCTTTATACAGCAATATTGTAAAGCAATGCAATGGAAACTAATAATGGAACAAGAAAACATTTATAAGACGTCTAATAAAGCATTTTATTAAATCAATTGAAAACAGTCGAATTAAAGCGACAATGTATGTGCAAATTACACTTATTCAGTTTGTTATTAGATCAAACCTCTGGTTCTGAATCAGGAAGATAGTCAACGTCTATAAAGTTTTTAATAAGTAAATTAATCATATCTGAGTAAACGGCTTTTTTCAGCACATAATTCGACATCCTGTTTTATTCAGCATTGTACACTGTTATACAGCATTTATTCAATGTGTATGCTTATTTGTGACTTTGAATTGTTTGTTTGGTAGTACTGTCGCATTAATGGCCGTTCACTCAATTTCAACTTCTATTCAATGTCCACCCTACCGCACTCCACGGAACTATCAACCTATCCTCTTCAGAACTTTCCCCAGGTAATAAATTAACACACTAAAGCTTCACGTTGATATTAGTATAGCATTTCCAACGAACTCTGAAAATCGTAAGCTTCACCTATGAAGTAACAAAAATCACTTTGAATGTTGCAATTTATAAATTTCACTCATTCCTGAGAACACTGTAAGTAGGTCGCACGAGCCAAAAGAGTCCAAACTTTTCAATGACGTAAGCCCGTCTCTGTCTGGCTCAACGTGCACATAGGTACCTATTGCTCCAATCCAAATTAATTCAACTTTTTGCCAACCGTTGCAGGGTGAAAACTTTCCCTTAGATACTGTGCGTCTGAGTACCGGTTGATCCCCTCTTTCCCCGTAAACATGTCACTTTGTCATCCACCTACGACCGGGCGAAACGAGTTTCAGTAACGAAGCATGTTTTGTTTTCCATCCGGCTTAGATCACGCACACATGTACACACAATATGGTTGCTTCTTCTGTGCAGTGCACCATAGTAAGTTTCCTTACAATACGGGAAGCAATTTTCCCACCGCCATCATGATTATCATCATCGTTCGAGTTTCACCTAGTGCAGTTGCAAAGCAACACAAAATGTCCCGCATGTCATCATCCTTCCATTATGTTGCTTTGCTGTGTTGAAGAGAAGCAACAGCAGCAGGAAGGATAAAAGCGATTTCCTGCGTCCAAACAGGAACGTGCCATTTTCCTCCAGTTTGTCTCTCTAGCAGTCCGGGTAAGGACCCGTTCTGCTCGCTTGATTCCAGCGTTGTTTACATAGCATCCAGTCACACCGGATGTGTGTGGATTTTGCAATTTTGTAGCATTTTTAGCTCCCTTCTACCGTCGTATGAGGTATGGAAAACATTCTTGGCGAGGTGGAAGATAATTCCAAGCACGTTCTACGTTTCGATGTCACTTAGCTCCCAGGTGAGTCACATAGATGAATGATTAAACGATTTTATTCAGTAGCAAGTAATGGGATTGCAGTTTCGATGAATATTTACGTGACTTGCGTTGGTGATATGTTCCAGTGTGCAAATGATTATCGACAAGTCATGGATGTACTTATAAAAGGTGTAACAATTTTAGATACTGACTGGCAGGGTTGCATCCTCTCACTTCGCTATAAAAATTGTTTCTCGAAATTATGGAATCATTGGCTGCTATAATGATGTTTTGTACTTATAAGCTACAAGAAGAGGTTGAAAAGTATGTATTTGGCATATCAAACCTGTCAATTACGCTTTCAAAAAGTCACAATCAGCGATTTTATGATTCACGAGCGTTCACTCAGAGTGAGATGTTTTTACAGGAAAAGCGCGGAAAATTTCACATTTTATGAGCAAACCTACTTTATGCAAAATTGAGTCGAATTCGAATCAATTTTGAGTCGATCTCATCGTCCGCATATGTAAATTCCACCGTTAGTACACACTGAGTTCAATCATCCCAGCAAACCGCTTCAATATCTACCTTATTAATATGACAATTTCTCACCTGCTTCCATTCTACTTTGTCGATGATTTCCGCTCCCGGGGCAGAACTTTCGGTGATCGGTGGTCGCAGAAGTGAAATGTACTGTTACCGAAGAAAATCTAATCAATATAATCCCCAATCATTTAACAAAAACAGAACATCACCCACCTTTCCGCGGTCTAGACTACGGATGAGATCGAGATCGGTGGAGTCGGATATACCGCCGTGCACCACCAGCACACGGTTGTTAACTATCGTACCCAGCGGAAGCCATCGGTAGACTTCGTCGATGAGCTTAAGCAGTCTTTCGGCGTTGTGTTTGTACTTTTGGTGAACCTCTCGCACGAAACCGTATCGAACGTTCATGACGGTGTCCTCGTGGTTTCCGCGGTTCAGAAAGACACCGCCGGGAAACACTAGGAACGTACAGAGCAGCAACAAGAACACCTCCAAACCCTTCTTGCCTCGGTCCACGAAGTCACCGTTGAAAACGTACGGGTTCTCCGGCGATGGGAGACCATTCTGTAATTGAGAAAACGTATTTTTTATTTTATAAGCATTCAAGATAAAAAAAACCTGCGATTATAATCGAACCTTATGGAACACCACCAGCAGATCGTCCAGCTTTCCGTGCAGATCTCCACAGATGGTCACCTGTTTCGAAATGGCCGTCGATGCTTGGTTCAGGTTTGGCAGTCGTTTAAGCTTCGACGTGGCTTCCCGCAGGATTCCGGCCACATACTTGGCGTGCAGTCGGTTCTTCTTCTTCCGGAACAGATCGATGATCACATCCAGCTCCTTCTTGTCCAGCGGGAACTTGATGTGCGGTCCCTGATAGCTTCGCTCCGGGCCACAGATTCCCTCGTCTGCCAAGTCGTCCGATTCGTCGGAGAACTTCATGTCAAGGGCCTCTGTGCGTTGGGAGAGGATTTGAGAGTTATGGATGGCATATTTAGGCATATATTCAAACAGTTACCAATCGATGACGACCGGGAGGTTTCCTGCGAACCGGTGGGACGTCCGGCAGTGTCGGGAATGTGCGTTAGCAGTGCGTTGAAAAAGTTGTATAACTGAAACGAAACAAGCGGTAAATATTTAATCACTCGTGACAATACGGTGAATTCGATTTAATGTCTGTCGTTTTCCAATTATTCCGTGCACCTGGTGTTAATTAAACATGCGTCGGGAAAAAATTGTCTCAAAATGGGACGCGGGTAGGCGTACATTCAATGCTAATTGAACATGGTAGAACGGTTAATTGGAAATGCTTGCTGTGTACGGAAATTGTGAGGAGTTGAGTGTAGTTAATAGATTTCCCATGAATCGATTAAATCAACACGTTTTTGTATCGATTTGAAATGTTTGATTGTCAACACGAGATGTGAAAATTTTATGTTTACATTTGATACAATGATCGCAGGAATAAAGTGGCAATGCCTTTATCGGTTTTCAATTGCATGCAAAAGACAAGCGTGATGAAATAAGAGAAATTCTGTCACAAAGCTGATGCATCAGCATCTTTTTTTTTTTTTTTTTTCCTTTATTAACGAGACTTTCAGCCTTAGGCTGGTTCATCTCTAGAGGCATCAGCATCAAATCAGATTTAAAATTTCAGGATGAGATGGATGCTTATCTAAGACATTAGATTCGATGATCTTCGGACTTGTGTGCTGGTCAGAGTGCTTCTTATTTGACTTTATTACGTGGGACATCACGCTGGCTCTTAACTTAGTGTCTTTGAGCATTTCCACAGTTGTTAATTGAGAGCTTTCTAAGCCTGTGCCATTTTTACATTATTGTTCACTACCAATCATAAATTTGGCGTCACCCTTTAACAAAAATGTTAATGAAGAGCTTTTGAGAGTGTGTTGATTTATTTCCATTTAATTCCGTTATAATTGCTGTTACAGATACGCGTATTTCGTCTACTACTTGCAGACTTCATTAGTGCCAAGTACTTGTCACAAGTGGTGTTCCGGTTCTTAAAGGGATTCCGTTAAGAGCTTCGACAAAAATTAAAAGATTAAGTTAAATGTGTTTTGTTCATATCTCATAGGTCATTTGAATAGTATTGGCATACATTTAGTTTGTAAGAAACTGGCTTAGTATATTTAAAAAAAATATACCAAAACTTCCCTTAAAATTACATTTTACAAAACTCACACTGAACATTCATGACTGATTTTCTCAGAATTAGGTCGACCAAATTTTGAAATGAAAGTGGAAGTATTATATATTATTATTATATACCTACCGAGATACGTTTGCGAAAGTCAAGTTGACACATTTAGAATATTGTTTAAAAATAGTTATTCAAGTCATAAATCAAAAGATTGGAGTCATCCCATAGTATGGTTTGTCGCTATTGTTAGTTTACTCTGAATTTTAGTATGAATAAAGGGAAAATATGATTAGCCACATAGCAACGAAGTAAGATCCATTCAATGTCAACATTTAAAAGGGGCGTAATTTCATTCGTAAACAATAAAAGCTCATTCATGAAAATGTATGCCACCAGTAAGCAGATAAATGTTTCTTCCACCATTAAGCATTGTTCATTTGGAGGGGTGAGTTTTAATTTGTGATTTATCGACGGATAAATCGGTTGTTAACAAAATAAAGTATGCGATAAAGAGTCAAGTATTAGTTCACCTAACCGGGAGATTTGCTTAAAATTATCAATGATCGCAGGATGTTAGCGGAGACCGCATGAGATATACCGAGATGCGGTCCAATGCAACAAAATTGGAGACCGGAAAATGGGAAGTGTAAATTATTACATGGCCAATGAGAATATTCTACACAGTTGTATGAGAAATTTATAAAAAAAAACTACAGGTACTCAACACTAAGTTCCTGCAGTTTTTAGAAAATTTCTCCATGCCTCTGAGTAGAAGTGACTCTCCCTCTGAGTTATTCTCTTTGGCCATATACCTATGACGAAAAAAAGGTTGCCGACTGGACTCGAACCACGAACGTTGCGATTGACAGATCTGTCCTACCCCACCCGTAATATTCCCCAGATATTGTGCCGTTGGAGTATTATTTGTTCCGTTTGATGGCACATGGTCTGGCTGATCCAGTTCCGCTCATATCACAAAATGGCTTGATTCGCGGATAGCCTCAAAAGACGAACACTTCTACCGTCACGGTATTCGAGTTCTGCCAGAAAGATGGGAAAAAGTTGTTGCTAGCAATGGGCAATACTTTAAATCATTTATTTGTAACTATTCCATTTTTTCACAATAAAGTTACATCAAGTTTAATCAATAAAACAGCGAGAACTTGTAATTTAAAAATGTAATGTTATACTGACCGCCCACTTTCACCACACCTCTTTATATGCACTTATTCCATTTCCAATACCGATTCCATATCCAAAATCCACCACCATCCTGATCTTTGCTTTTTTCTCCCTTTTTGAACTCTTGACTTCTGACGCCATCCTTCATCTTTCAACTTCCCTCGTCCCAACAGTACACGCTACTTCAAAACTACCCAAATTTGAGTAGAAACCACACAGGTAGGTAAAAACTGAACCTACCCAAAAATGGGTAAAATAAGTTGGGAGTATAAAGAGAGAGAGAAGGATTAGTAATTTCCATTTAATTCCACTACCTTATTTGCTTATCCTTGACAGATACACGTATTTCGTCTACAATGTGCAAACATCTTCAGTGTCTTGTACTAATACTCGACTGTTAAGTTGGGAGGGACAAGTTGGCAAAAGAACAACATCGATCGGATTCACAACTTGTCACTACCAGGTTCAGTTTTGACGAATCTGGGTGGATGTTACTCAAATTTGGGTTATTTTGAAAAAGCGTGTATAGCGTTTCTCTTGCTCCCACTGTTATTCTTCAACTGCGATACCGTACTTCATAAACCCTTCACAACTATCAAACCTTTCCTTGACCCCTTCTTCCTCTTCCTCTTACTGTCGTCGACAGAACGGCAACACTATGCCTCTCCTAAACAAAAAAAAACGCTACTTAATTGTCCACAAAGCGGCGCCGGTGGTGTAGTGGTAAGTGTGATTGCCTCTCACTTCAAAAGGCCTTGGTTCAATCCCATGGGCTACAAAATGGTGATGGTGAGTTGTCAACCTGAAAGGAGTGGAATACCTAGTCCTGGTCCTCACAAGTTCCTACTTCACGCCTCCTCGAGTCACATGATAACAAAAGACTACCAGCTGAAACATGAACACTAGACTGATGCAAAATTTGAAATTTTTGCTCCACAGTGCTCAAACGGTTTCAAATCGGGTCCTGATAAGCCTCAGAAAGTTTAAACTCATTTGATAAGAAACTGACTTGGCACACACCATTTGAAGTTTATATGAAAATTACTATGGGAAAACAAAACTGTTTGTTCATTGTCTTCTAGCCTTTTTACATATTGTTCTGTTAATAAATTATATTGCTATTCTTTGGGAATTTTTATCAGCTACAACTTTGCAGAAAATCGTTTTTCAGCCAAACGTCAAATTAAATAGTTATTAATTGTTTAAGAGATTGATAATCTTATGGCAAGATTAAGCAACTGTACTGTGAGCAACATTGTATTCTGCAGTGTGACATAGTAGCCATGACTTTTGTCCTCTATTCTACTCGCCATAAACACCAATGTTGCCTGCTGAACAGTTGATTGAGCATAATCATAAGACATCAGTGACTTGAATCAATAATAATTTTTGTTCCTTACATTTGATCAAAAAGTGGTCTTGAATAAAGTTGTAGAGCTCTGCTCAGCTCTGACAAAATTTTCAACAAGTTCAGCTAATTTTGAGATAGATATGAACCGAAATTACCGTTTCTCCATAGTAATTCCCATATAAACTTAAGATGGTTTGTGCGAAGTAAATTTCTCACTAAATGAGTTCAAATTTCGGGAGGCTAATCAGGGCCCGATTTGGAACCGTTTGAGCACTGTGGAGCGAAAATTTCAAATTTTGCATCAGTCTAATGGACACAGCTGGGTGACGTAGCCTGGGCAATGTTGCCAGTCTGGCAATAGCAAAGTGAAGAGGTGCGACGCGAACTAACCATAGTACGGCGATAGAGGAAATGCTTCAACAAACCTGAGCGTCTGCTCACCATGGAGGTGCGGCTCGAAACGGCGTCTGTTCTCCATGTTAGGAGCGGCTGATCACCGTCCTAGTGCCAGCGTGGGACTCTAAACAGAGCTGTGCACGATGGTCCCCCGGCGAGACAGGGGGTTGGGGCAGGCCCAACAAGCCGCCCTGGAAAAAAACAAAGTTGCAAATACCGAAGAAAGAAATACGGATCGGAACAATCGGCACAGACCTACGCGACGAAATAAGGACTACGATTGGAAACTCGGAACATGGAAATGCAAATCGCTTGGCTTTCCGGGCTGCGATAGGTTAATCTATGACGAACTTCAACCACGCAACTTCGAAGTCGTAACACTGCAGGAACTTTGCTGGACGGGACAAAAGGTATGGAAAAGCAGGCATCGAGCGGCTACTTTCTACCAGAGCTGTGGCACCACCAACGAGCTTGGAACCGGCTTTGTAGTGCTGGGTAAGATGCGCCAACGCGTGATTGGTTGGCAGCCGATCAACGCGAGGATGTGCAAGTTGAGGATTAAGGGCCGTTTCTTCAACTACAGCATCATCAACGTGCACTGCCCACACGAAGGGAGACCCGACGACGAGAAAGAAGCATTCTATGCGCAGCTGGAGCAGGTGTACGACGGCTGTTCGCAACGGGACGTCAAAATCGTCATCGACGACATGAACGCACAGGTAGGACGGGAGGCAATGTATAGACCGGCGATCGGGCCCAAACAGCCTGCATGCCGCATCGAACGACAACGGCTAACGATGCGTGAACTTTGCCCTCTCGGGGTATGTTAGTTCGAAGTACCTTTTTCCCCCGCAAGGATATCCACAAAGCCACCTGGAGATCACCTCACCAACACACAGATAACCAAATCGATCACGTTCTAATCGACGGGAAATTCTTCTCCGACATTATCAACGTCCGCACGTACCGCAGTGCGAACATAGATTCGAACCACTACCTACTTGCAGTATGCATGCGCT